TGTGTGTGTGTGTGTGTGTGTGTGTGTGTGTGTTTGCGTGCACGTGTGTTTGCGTGCACGTGTGTGTACGTGTGACATGCAGGGTGTGTGTGTGTACGTGCGTATGCGTGTGATAGTGTGCGTGCGTGCAAACGCGTGCGTGTGTGTCACGGTGTGTGCGTGCACGTGTATATACGTGCGGCAGTGTTTTTTGCGTACACGTGTGTGTGCACGCGGCAGTTTGTGTGCGTGCACGTGTGTATGCGTGCATGTGACAGGGCGTGTGCGTGCACGTGTGTATGCGTGTGACAGGGTGTGTGCGTGCACGTGCGTGTGCGTGTGTACGTGCGCGCGGCAGTGTGTATGCACGCACGTGTCTGGGCGCATGTACGTGCGAGTGTGTATTCTCTACTGCGAGGGAATGTCCAGAACATACACATATACGTGCCTATAGTAGCATGCGCGTGCTCGTATGTCGATAAAAACGCACGCACAGCGACGCACGCTCGCACACATTCACGCGTGCAGGCGTACGGACACCCAGACACATATACAGGGTCGCGTGCATAATATCCTATAGGTATTGTATACGTATATATCTCTATAAGATGGTCTGGTATATAATTATACAGTAAATCTTGCAGTATCTCGTTAACTGCTGGCAGGTCTGACATCTGAGACAAGGTAACATCCACGTATAGTCAGTCAGTCACCGCCGATCACTGCAGATTATCTGCCGCATAGATTCAAACACACGGACACGAATAAGGTGTCTGTGTGTGGGTGGATGTGTGTGTGTGTGTGTGTGTGTGTGTGTGTGTGTGTGTGTGTGTGCGCGTGCGTGCGTGCGTGTGTGTGTGTCGTGTGCGTGCGTGCGTGCGTGCGTGTGTTGCCGTGCGTGTGCGTGTTTGTGTGTGTGTGTGTGTGTGTGTGTGTGTGTGTGTGTGTGTCTGTGCGTTGTGCTGTGCTGTGTGCGTTGCATTCTTCCCCTGGCGTCGGTGTGTTGGGGGCGGGAGGGGTGGCACACACCTTTGCAAGATTTATTCTATGTAGTTTGACACGGCTGTCCCTAGATATATCAGACGTATACGGTGTTAAATTTGACGCTATTTTACGCGTGGTCTTGGCCTAATTTCATAGCCCTGCTTACCTCCTTCCCGCTAGTGTCTAACGCTATTCTATGTTCTTCTTCTCCAATCTTTTGTTATCCTGTCCCTCACCACCCTTAAAGGATTATTCGCGATCAGTTGGCCTCCAAAAACACACAATCCGGACAAAAATTATAGCTAAATATAATTCTCACCATCATAGCCAAGCCTATATTTTATGATTACACCAACTTGAAACACATCTAAGATTTATCGCTGTTATAGCAAAGGAAAATTGGAATTGAATACGCATGCCGTAACACCAAGCGCGTCACTTTGATGTTAAGGTATAGTTTGCAATGACTTCGCAAATGCTGCTTTAATTTATACCAAAATTATTACGACAAGGTTTTACCCTATTCTGGCACCTAATTAAAAACAGTGCATCTTGATTCTGTGTGTTTCTCCGTTTCTACTTTTCAAAATATTGGCGGCATAGCTGGCGTATTTTATTCGCGAATTTGTACGAGATTTTCGCCAAGAAATTGGCGCGGCGGTTAAAACAATAATGGCCGATCAAACTGGGAATCGTGCTCATGTATTTGGAGAATATAGCGTAAAGTACGAAGCTTCTAGGACAACGGTAAGTTGTCGTAAAGTGGTGGAAAAGCACGAAGATTGGTATGTAATTGTTATCTCCTTTTAACCTCGGTTCAACGCTTGCCTTGTTGACAATGGATCTATCCTCTGTGCTGGAAATTTTCGCATATTCTCCTATGTTTTAATCGAATTTTTCAGTTATTTACACACACGAAGTATTTCATTTTTTATACCTAAGCTTCACTATGGAATTGTTTGTGTGAATATCTGTTAATATTTTATTAATATTGTCAAGACATTTATAAAAATATTACCCTGAAAACCCCCGTATTGTAGAATTTTTTGCTCGTAGCGGCTTACTAGCTGACATTTGGCGCCCCAGTTAGTTTTCGGAAGTCTTGCATTACACATCTGACACTTACAATTTTATTAATTTTTAATATAATTAAGCCACGTGAAAACCTTTGCATTTCTACTGTAGTGTTCATCTTCTAGTACTATATATAATCTGTCACATTCTAGGTATAATATGTTTGAATATGTTTGATCCTATGCTTGATAAAATTAGTCATACAAACGATAGCCGGTGGTTTATGATTTACGCGCTCGCCGGTTATTAGTACTAGAGATATTGGTATTTCTTATTCGGTGCGCGTGTATACCAACAGTCATCGAAGCCATCTTATTATTGGTGTTAAAAGGATAGTATATGAGGGTAGCTCTTTTAAAATATTAGGTATAAAAATGTACGATTTGTTTCGATATGTCTGTCAGAATATCTTTTAAAAAAAAACGCTTGAATATGTGGGGCCTACTGTATACATGCCCCAACTTAATTTGGTGACTCGCGGTCTCAATTACTAGAGACAGCTAGATATCTGGCTATTTTATTTGGTATTATCCCATCCCCAGACAGATATCTGAGCAAACTCGTATTATTGGGTGTTAGAAGGAGGGTGAGTTGTACGTATAAGTTGCTCAATGTATATAAGTGTTATAAATATTGTTATCTATTGTTCTGATTGTGATATAAAAATCAATAACAAAACCGATCGCGGTTGGGTTAATTAATAAACTTCCACTCGCGGTTTTGTACTGAGATATCTGGCTATTTTATTCGATTATATCAAACAGATATCGAGCAAAACTTATATATTGGGTTAACTTAAGTGTGATTTCCCCTCCCATTCGCACCTCACTAAACTCCCCTACCCACTCTACGAGGTTACCGCCCTCTCTCAAACACTCACCCCTCTCCCTCTCTCAAACACTCACCCCTCTCCCTCTCTCAAACACTCACCCCTTTCCCTCTCTCCCTCACTCATCCTTCTCCCTCTCCTATCCCGTCGACCGTAGCGGCAGCAATTTCAGTATAGCTACAATCTTCTTCTTCTTCTTCTTCTTCTTCTTCTTTTTCTTCTTCTTTATCTTCTTCTTCTTCATCTTATTATTATTATTATTATTATTATTATTATTATTATTATTATTGGTGTTGTTATTAATTGTAGTAGTAGTAGTAGTAGTTGTTGTTATTGTTATTGTTGTTGCTGCTGCTGCTAACAACAACAACAACAGCAGCATCATCAGTCCGTGTGTCCGCTGCAGTGGTGGCGTGTCCGTTGACGGGCTACACGCGCTCGCAGCCGCCGCCCGCACGCGCGAGTCCGTGAGAACCGGTCAGCCTCGTGCGGCGACGACCAATCAGCGCTCGCCGCCTTTCTTCGCGCCGTCATCCGCAGACGCTGCGACCACGCGTGTGAACGCGGGCGTACAAGCCGTCCGCTGCTGCCCTGCCGCACGCAGGGTAGCACCTCTCGAGCGTCAGTAGCGAGGAACGGCGCGCGTGCTGTCAGCAGAAGCCGATAATCGTGTATCGCACGGCGTGTGAATATTGCGGTATTGGATGGCGTCTGCTGAACTGGCAGCGAGAGGGTAGGCTCTCGCGAGTGCCAGGTGGACCGTGGTGCCCGCGCGTCGTGCGGCAGGCGCAGCAGAGGCGGGATTCGGGGGAGAGGGGGAATTGTTAGTACGATCACGCAGCCGAGTGAAATACCACACGTGGCGGAAGCGGTGCGGCAAGCGTAGGGCCGTGTACCAGGCCGGCCATACACGCACACACGCGCAGCGACGTACACACGCGCGCAGCGACGCACACACGCACGCAGCGACGTACACACGCACGCAGCGACGCACACACGCGCAGCGACGTACACACGCGCAGCGACGTAGAGTAAAACGTGACTGCCTGTCCCGTCTGCTCTCTCTGCTCTTCATGCAATGCATCTCTCTGCTGCTCGCTCTCTCGTCGTCTCTCTGCGTGCTCCTCTCCTCTCATCTACTCTCTCTCGTCTCACTCACGCA